TTTTGGGTCCATTGACCTGTGAGCCTGTGAACATGTTGGTTCTTGGACCTGCCGCAGGATTCGGATTTCGAGCGTACAATCCACAGCACGCGGGTCTTTTGCCGCCCTCCGTATATGGTCAAGATCGCTGTCAGAGGCGCCTCCTTAGTGTTGGTTTTTTTTTTTTCGACTGGGAGGGTCCCACGAGGATTTGGTTTCATGATTCTCTGCTACAGAGCACCGGAGTCTCGGAGAGCTGCCGAAGTCTTCATGTCAGCCCTGAAGGATCGAAATGCCACCATTGTGACTGCTGGAACCCGGCGCAAGGGTTCGAGGGCTTCCTGGCACCCGGCATGTCGTCGTTGAAGACGCGTGAACCACAACTCGTGCTGATCGCTTGACGTTGTGCACATACTTTCTCATGTACGGGCTCCCATGTGCTGCTTCCTTTCATGATTAGGGTATGTCAGCCGCTTGAACCCGAAATCCCAACCCTCAGCCTTTGCACCAGAGCCGGGGTTCACAAGGGATCTGGAAGCCGAAAGCTCGACTCTCAATGTGACAAGGCTTCCAGCTTGTCCTTCAGAGGTGCGCAACATGGTGGGATGAGGTCCCTTGCACGTTCAGCGTTTAGGGTTTGGGGTCGGTATCTGATCATGATATATGTTGCATCTTTTTTTGTTGTTGTTGTTGTTGTTGTTGGGGGGCGGGGCGTTCTGTTGCAAAGGTTCGGAGACGGCATGTGATTCAAAACATTTGTAGTGTTTCAGTCATTGTCTATTGTTGTGCTTAATACCGTGTATGTTGTTATTGTTCTCGATGATGCGACCTGAGTAGAAGTTGTAAGTTGAAACTATGTCGCAAACAATGCTGCTCCTGCTCGGGGCATGCTGTCAGAAGACGGCAACCACTGGTCCCAAACTTGGGGGTCATGCTGCTGGTTGAACAGATCATACCGTAAGTATATAGATAGTATTCGGTTTTAGTATTAATATTTCGTGTGTGGTTCGTCATCAATGCTCTAGCCGGGCAAAATATGCTTGTGCATGTGGCTTCCATCCTCATCGAGATTCTCACTTCTTGTTAGTTCAATTCCTATCCATACAATACATAACAATGCTGTTACAAGTTCCTTATATATCGGAAATACATAAAACAAACCAGCATACAGCATATGATCTATACAGTATGCAACATACAGTTTACACTTAACCGTTATGATACTGTAAAGTATAGTGTATAGTTTAGTCCGGTATACAACATAGCATAGTATAGTAACACTAGCACACAAGAAAAGCATAATGCAATATGATGTAAGGCAGTCCGATACACATAACTTGTATATGTATATATATATATATATATATATATATATATATATATATATATATATATATATATATATGCATATACATGTGTATATATATATATATATATATATACATGCATAAAGATCTGTAGACATGTAATATAGATGTTGAACCTGGCAGATAGGGTAACGCAAACATATCCTTGTATGGTGTAGTATCTAGTATGACAAGCCAAAAATATTCAAGCGCATGCATGTCCTCCATCATGCACTAACATAGTAATGAAAGCAGGATGTAACATAATAAATACAACATACGATAGCACAGCATAGTATAATCTAGCAAACAGAAATAGTGTATGCTCGTGCAGTATCATACAGTATACTGTAGTGTAGCGCAACAGAGTATTGGTTAATGCAATGTACTTTAAGCAAGTGTCAGCCCGAGTTCTCCTGAGAGCAAAGCCCAGGTCTGTGCAGCAGGCACATGGTGCCTCCCATCATCCCGTACCTTTTGAAAGCCGCAGCTACGAAGAACCGATGAATCGAGGCTATGGGGTTTTCGAAGATTGGAAGTTTGTAAAATCGATGGCCTCGACACTCCTTCACAGTGTATGATGCAATCCAGGGTCACAAGCACTGCTTCATGTGCGGCTTTTGCGCGTTGTGGTATTTCCACAATGTTCCGATGTGATTCGATGTGCACGAAGAAGAGGAACGCCGACTCTTTGACATGTCGGCTTCCGGTTAGGGACCGCCTAATTTTTATCACATCCTCGGAGCTTCAATTCAACAGCTTCCGGGGTGGGTGCGCCATGCGGAATCAGCTTCGCTGCTTATTGCGCCGGTTTCAAGGAATTCAGGCGGTTTGGGGTGGCGGCGCGGTGTGGCGGCGCGTGCAGGTCTGGATGTCAACTTCTATGGCTGGCCTGTCCAGCAGTTGTGTAGAACATGTGCCTCCTCGCCGCCAACCCTGCACCCAGATAAGTTACTGCTTCCTATCGACAGAGAGAGATGCTGTCGGAGGTCAAGAAGTGTGTCAAAAGCACGTAGCTGCCTGAGGCTCTGATTTCGCGAGGCTCTGGCAACCAGCCAAAACAATCTAGCCCAGAAGCCTGGACTCATTACCGTACAGCACAAATCCTGATCCCGAGTTGGAGCACAAGTGAACCTTATCCGCTTGGCCGTTTGTTGACCAACGACTCTCGACGGTAAAACAAAATGCTACTACTATACTATACTGCTACTACTGTTGTACGACGACTACTACTACTACTGCTGCTACTACTACACCTACTACTACTACTACTACTACTACTACTACTACTACTACTACTACTCCTGCTGCTGCTACTACTACTACTACTACAGATACTACTACTACTACTACTACTACTACTACTACTACTACTACTACTACTACTACTACTACTACTACTATTACTACTACTGCTACTACTACTACTGCTGCTGCTGCTGCTGCTGCTACTACTACTACTACTACTGCTGCTGCTACGGCTGCTGCTGCTGCTACTACTACTACTACTACTACGACTACTACTACTACTACTACTACTACTACTACTACTACTACTACTACTGCTACTGCTACTGCTACTGCTGCTCGTATTCCTAACCTGCTTTATAACTCCAACTCCCTCCTGTTCGACCTTGACCTGGTTTAGGGTTTAGGCCTAGGGTCAGCAGGAATTGGAAGTCTCAGCAAGAGTCATGCCTGATGGCGCGGCATTGGGCAACGGCTCAACGATCTCAATACATCCGATTTTTTCACGATCTTCTTGGTAACCCCTTGCGGAATGAAGGCTTCGATTTCGAAGGCCGGTTTCAATCTTCGGCCATCATCTGTTGCAGCATTCGACTGCTTCAGTCCGTGTCGGGTACCATGGGGACATCATATATCTGAAAGCCGGGGCCGTGGGCGTGTCGCAGTCCCGTGCTCACCGCAGCACACGTAATGCAACAGCAAAATACTCAACAGTGGAGAAGTCATGCTAGGAGGGGCTTATGTAGGGTGCTGTGAGGGGGCACTCCGTTTACTCAGTGCAGGGGTGTCCTGCCTGCATACTTCAGGACAGCTGGAACCTCCGCTTTTTGATGGTGGAATTTGTCCAGTTCAGCTGAGCTTTAACCCTAGATTTCTAGCACCGACATCAGCATCGAACATCTCCTCCATCAACCGGGTGGGCTCTGCGACATGCTTGCTACAGGCCCTGTAGGAGCCTAGATTGCGCGACTTAACGGCGATGTCTCACATGGTGGGAGAGGTAGTCATATTACCAGCCAACCTGCACAGCCAACCTGCAAAGCACCATACTTCTTGAAGAAAATTGCCGCTGTATTTGTTCTAAGAAGCCGAACCGTTATTGGGTCGGGCATCAGGTGGAGGCCGTTCCTACCTACCAGAAGGGCATCGCAGCAATCCGCGATAGTCGGCATTTGCGGCGCTTTCCAACTATCCTACCACCTTTGGTTTAGCAGCTTCTTGAAGTTTGCAGGCTTTTCTGCCACATTTTGGACCCTAAACCCTAAACCCTTAGGGCTTAGGGTTTAGGGACCGCATCCCTCCAACTTCTGCCGCTGCCGCTGCGACTGCTAGGGATCCTGTGCCTCTGCTGCCTCATGCGCGGACACAGTTAGGAGGCTTATTTAGAGGATCATGGGACTTAGTAGCGAGGGTTATAATTCAGGTAACTATATTTATAATTACTTATAACCCCAATGAAGGTACTTATAACCATACTTACTAAGTCCCATGATCCTCCAAGTAGGCTACCACTGCCCAGCCCCGATTTGGCAAGTGTGGTTGGCAGGGGCCGGGAGGGAGAGGAGTGGCTAGTAGTACCATGAGGCGGATCGTAAGCAAGCAGATTTTAGTCCCTGACGGTAGAGTCACCGTCACAGCCACGTGGAGCCTAATTATGGTTACCACAAAAGACTGATGCAATGTCAGAATTAGAACGATCTTGCTATGTGGGACAGCTGCCTGATGTCGAGTTTCAACGCCAGACTACACAGAGGGGCTGCAGCCGTTAACGACACGGTTCGCTTGCGGAAACGGGTTCACTTTGACCATGGCGACTGCTGAGATGCAATCAGGGGAACTGTGGAATCTCATAACGCAAGTGCTTGACACCGAAGGGGCTTAAGAAACTTGACAGTGTTGGCTACAACGGGATGTCACACGTATCCGGCTGCGTCACACTGGAGTCGGAGGTGGAGTCTTCAGCGGCCTTGCTGGAACCTCACTGTCACTATCTGTCACTCAATCTGTTGTTTAGCAAGTTCCTGCCACTTCTTGGCCCCGAATCCTGCATGAGGACTTGTTAAGTGGGTCAAGACTGCCAGAAGTTCGCTTCGTCGCGCAGTTTGTAGTCGTGCTGGTGCCGTGAATCTGATCGCTATGGGGTTTCTTGCAGCAGCAGCAGCAGCAGCAGCAGGTAGTGTATGACCTCTGTCTGTACAGCGGATCACCGTAGTGGCTGTTATGTCGGTAAGTGCATTGTAAGTTTGGCTGGCTCTGCGACAACACCCCAGTATTTCCAGTATACCCCCGCCCCACATCGGAAACCCTGTAGATCTCTGTAGACCTTGAACCCCGAATACCCTCTCTTCCCAATTTCAGCGGTTCCCTTGGCCTTAAACCCTGGACCCTAAGCCCTAAACCCTAAACGCCAAAACCCTAAACCGCCAGTACCAGCTCTTGGACAAGCTCCTGCGCGCTCTCGAGCAGATGAACGTCAAGGTCTGCCCGGACTTAGACAGAGGCTCCATATTAGTTCCCTTTCGGGATTACTTTATAGGATTCTGAATATGAACCCCCAAAAAAGGAACTACTATGGAGCCTCAGGGTAGACAGACTTGAGCTTAGCTTAGTGTTGTAACAGTGGAGCAGAGAGTAGCATGGTATAGCCTAGCATGGTAGTACACCATAGCATAGTTTGCATCGTATAGCACAGTATAGTATAGTGTGGTGGTCGAGGTTAGTCTAGTCTTAGTATAGGGTGGGCAGATGTCGCTCTGGCGTTTCTTAAGCTCACCAGAGAGTAGCGGCGGAGCGACTGTGACTTGTCACTGGGTTTTGAAGGGCTGGCTTTGTGGTTTTGGGTTTAGGTTTTATAACTTGGGGTTCTGCGTGTTGGGTGGGGGTTTTCGAGGGGTTTTAGGGTGCTGTCTTCACCCTGTGCAGGTGACGCCAGGGCACATGACGTCAGGCTCCTGCAATCCTACTTGCTGCAGCTACAGGATAGAGTTTTGGGTTTAGGGTTGTGGGCTCGACGTTATAGTTGAAGTTGCAAGTGGAGAAAGCAGAAGACACACATCTTACCTCCACAGATCTGGCGGAGAAGACGGATTCCATCCTTGCCTCGAGTGCGGGACCCAAGCCCTCGTGTAGTAGCAACTTGCGACAACGAGAAGCCTGCAGTTTCAGATAGGAGTGGGATGGAACATGCGAGTCGTGGTTGTCGCAGTGGTAGCAGTTGCAGCAGCACTAGAAGTAGCAGCCGAAGCAGCGCTGGCACTAGTTCCGAGAAGAAGGCAACGAACCATCTAGCCCTCAATAGTCGTCATGTGGCACTGAGATCCCGGCACCATGCCCAAAAACAAATGAACCAAGCATTTCGAACCAAGCAGAGAAACAACTTAATGGCTGGGTTTGACAGGCCTGTGGGGTAGCCGTGGCGGATGGAAGCAGCAGCAGCAGCAGTAGCAATGGCAAAGCAAACGATGACAAAATTAGTCACGGTGCTGGACCTGGTCAGTGCTGGACTGGAAGTATGATCTTCGGTGTAGGTAAGGTGGTAGACATTGCCAAAGCACGAGTGCCCCTATGCAGAGCTGCTCGCATCCATCCCGCTACAGGTATCGCTTCATTCCACGACAAATTGGCCCCAGGCTCAAATTCAGCTATTTGAGCTTGCTTCTTGTTCTTGCAATCCTCGCGTCTGAGACCCATCACCTCCCTCTTCACCCCGCCCCCCCCATCTGACCAGCAGCACCATCACCGAGCAAGCAGGGTAGAATCGGCTTTGATGGCACAGCTTCAAACTATGGGCTGCCTTGCCTCTTGCACGTAGGAAATTCTGAGGGTATTACGACGTCCCTTCAAGAATGGATGCTAACTAACTAGGTCTACAGAGTTCGTCTCCTTAGCAGCGGAAAGCTGACTCCCGGCCACGATGATACCCTGGCGTGTGGGTTTGAGGGATCTTGGGTTTGCTGTTGTTTTTGGTGCTTTGGGGTTTTGTGTTTTGGGCATTGCGATGCATGATGACGCTTGTGGCCACAAGCAAAATAGTAATAGATGCTACGAGTGTTGTCAGTTCTGTTCTCAGTGGTAAAATGCAGACCTGACCCGCTTGAAGTTCAACACTTGAGTTGGGTCTGCATCAGCCGCTAAACCCCAACTACTGGTGGTGTAGTAACCTGGTAGTACTCTCAGTGCGTTTATTCGTGTTCCTCCCCCATAAGCCCTTCAAGAACAAACCTGGGATAACCTCGGTACTCAGAAAGGTGATGAAAGGTGTAAGGCTTAGGCAGCCGAGGCCCAGATCGAGAAAACGGTGGCCCTGACCACTTTTGCAAACCAGCTCCAGGCAGAGTTCAGGTTGAGGTTTAGGGCTTTTAGGGTTAGGCGAGCCCCTGGGTTCAGGATTTGAGGGTTCAGGGCTTTTAGGGTTGGGGGGGGGGGCTTCGAATGTAGGGCTTAGGGTTTGCCTCTGAAGCCAAGCATCCCCAAACCTTCTGAAGCCCTCAATCTAAGCCTCAGCTTCACAGACCTGGATGTAGGGTGGCATGGCTTAAATCAAGGTAGATGTGAAGCCTCAGGCCGGGCGTTAGCATCAAGTCAGAAAGCACCCTGAACTTTCAAGCAAGGCTTGCTGCCCTGCCACATTCTCATGTGATCATCGCAAGACATGGGGGGCACACATGCCTTTCACCATTTAGGATGGTCTGCATGCATTACGACCATTCATTCATGTGTTGTGCTGCATCATTCGTATTGCAGTAGCATTCCGAGCTTTGGCGTGATGATCACCAAAGCCCCAAACACCGAGTCCTGCAGGGTTGTCTGCTGCTTGTAATCACAGCTTGGCGTTCTTCTGGTTGGCTCTTTAGGCTTTAACTTTTTGGGTTTCTATATGAACTATAATAAGGGGGCTAAAAGTTTAACTTTTAGGAGGGGTTCAGAAGTCCGCCAAGACAGCGGTGTTCTGTAGGTGCTTGCTTGAGCAGCTGTGGTGCTCGGTTAGCTCTTGTTGCTTGTAGCATTTCACTCATTTGCCACTCCTGCAAACGAGTTTGTGGCTATTCTTTGTTTATGAGCCGTGATGCTGCCAACGCTAAATCCTGTAAACCCTCAAGACAAATTCTGAAACCCTGAACTCAACATCATGAAGCCTGAACCCATAAATCCCAAATCCAAAACTCTAAACTCCATAAGCACCAATCGCAGGCCAAGCTGATACTTTTGCTGCTCCAGCTCCGCAATTTCTTTGACACTGCAGCCACCAACTCGGCCGGCAGGAGTCAGCGATCGATCCAGAGACAGAGGGGAGGGAGATACATGTATATAGACACACGTGCTTGTGTGTGTGTTTGTACATACATATACATCTGTCTTGATTTAGCTGTTTATTTATGTCTACATACATAAGCTGCATAAAGCTACACATGAAAGTGCCTATCTAGAAGGCCGGGTATATATGTGCACAAGTGTCAGACCAATGGGCATCTGATTCCCAGACATGTGCGCCTGAGACTGCGCACCTGCTTGAGACAGAATCGGACGTTCATGGCTCACACAGGTGACTGTATGCATGCGTGCACGTTGCGTGTACATTTCTGTGAGCTGCTGTAGGCGGATTCCCATGCATGTATGAACGCATTGACATCTGTTTATCTCATTTTTATCTCCTGATCTGTCTTATCTGCGGTAGACACGGCTGCGGATTTCTGCCAAGCCCGCTTGTATGCACGCGCCCGTGGCCCCAAACCCCAAACTCTTGCCCAAAACCCCAGACCCAAAGCCTAAACCCATTGCGTCCGCTAGTACTCTTATCTCTCGGTTCAGGTCTCGCTGTGTGAAACTTTGCAAAGCCAATTCAATTTCTTTGATTCCAGCATCACATATTCGAACAGCAGCATCTTTTGGCATGAGAAGCCTCAGCGGATTTTACGGATCTGCGCTACGCAAGAACATTCAACATCAGCTTTTCGTCATGCTGCAAGCCGGCTTGTTTTGCAACCAATCTGCTCTTGATGGTTCCAAGCTGAGCACTCAGTGGTGCCTAACCTGTCGCAGTTCCGTAGTATTGGGTGCAATCAATGATTATCCCTTCGGTTAATTCGCCGAATCTGGCTTTACCTTTGCATCGTCGACACGTTGCGGCCTTAGACACACCGTGCAGCAAAAGGTATAACGGCCTAAATAACTACCAATACTATTTCGGGGACTCCTTATTATCACTATAGTGTGATTCACCCCGGAATTATTCAGGCCTCTACATTACTTATGCTTACGGTGGTGGCCCGCTCAGGTTCGGGTGCCTCTGAAAGAGGTCGGTGTCACACAGCAGTCGAGTGCGGAGCTCAAGGGTGTCGGTTTCTGATTGAGTAATATGGGGGCTTTAAGTATTACCAAAACTATTTGTGTGGGGGGGAGTATTATGACTATAGCATACTTAATGGGCCCCCAAACCCTGTTCTAATTACAAAGGCCCTGATTGAGTAGCTGTTGGCTGCTGGCTCTGTGGCTGGCTGACTGGCTGGCCGGTTTGGATGCTCACTGTCGATTGTTGGTTGTGGTGTTGTTGTTATTGCTGGTGATGGCTTTGCTGCTGTAGCTGTTGTTGCCGTCGCCGTTGTTGCAGTTATGATATTTCTCTTGTCATTGCTGCTGCTGCTGATGTTCCTCTGTCTCAGGACTGCTGTCGCTCCAACCGTTGCTTTGACTGTTTGCAACTGTCGGCTACAGATCTGAGCTCCACGATGTCTCATGGCCTCGTGGAGTTCACAGAAGCACACCGCGACAGCTCTAACCGAGGCTCCGGGTTCCCAGGAGGTACGAAGGTGTTGTGTCGCAGGAGAGAGACGAAAGAACATCTAATGGAACGCCAAGCCGTGACTCAACGGATGCAACACACTGAGTATGGCTTCAAAGCAGAACCGCAAGAGCAGCTTCGCTAACATGGTCTCAGCACCGGAGAATCTAGGTAGACTCAGCAAGAGGGTGCCACGCGAATTCCGAAATTGCTATGTGAAAGCGGTACAGTTGTGCACCAGATGTCCTTTGCTGCCGCGAGGTTATGGAAATGCTGGGCTTGGAAAGTTCCCTCGGCTGGTTGCCAAGTGCAGATGGTGACAGCTACCGTTGCGAAGGCTGACAATTTGTGACAGCTATTGACACAGCAGTAGCAGCACTAGCGTACTTGTAATAGTATTTCTATTACTAGTACTAGTTCAGGGTACTAGTACTGATGCCCAAATTCTGCATGACCACAACAGTAGTACTCGTACTGTTGATGCCCAAAATCAGGCATGTCCTAGATCATCGCGCTTATCTCAAGTCGCACCGTCCATTTCCCCGCAACCCCTTGATGTCAATCTTGCATCACCATGGGGTCATGCAGGATTTCGGACATTGGCAAAGTAGGTTTTAACTCCTGCATCAATGCAAAATCAAAATTCGAGGTAGTATGGGAGCCGTGGGGATGTTCAAAGTCATGCAGGATTTTGGGCATCAGCCGTAGTAGTAGTAGTAGTAGTAGTAGTAGTAGTAGTAGTAGTAGTAGTAGTAGTAGTAGTACTACTACTACTACTACTACTACTACTACTACTACTACTACTACTACTACTACTACTACTACTACTACTACTACTACTACTACTATTAGTCGTAGTCGTAGTCGTAGTCGTAGTCGTAGTAGTAGTAGTAGTAGTAGTAGTAGTAGTAGTAGTCGTAGAAGTCGTTGCTCTGAGGCTTCGCGTGGAGACCGTCACTCAGAGCTTCGAGGTCGGGTCGGTCCAGTCCTGCGCATGGAAGGCCATGTGGGTGGTTGTCAAAATTAGGGTCCCTTTTTGGGTACCCTAAATATCAGGTGCCGTTTTACATAAAGGACCCAAAAAGGGACCCTAATTTTGACAACCACCCATGGAACGGATTTGGATTTAGGGGTTTAGGCCATGTGGCCTAAGCTCCAGATGCCTCAAACATTAAAATCCTCGTTGTTGGAAACCCCAACACCCGGAAGGCCTAAAACCTTGAAAAACCTAAAACTCTCAACCCGAAAACCCTCACACCCTCAACTCCTAAAAGCCGTCAACTTTAGATTATGGGCTAGTTCTGAAGTCTTCCAGAGATGGCAGGGCTTCCGGAAGTTCTGCGACGAGGCCCGGCTTCAGCCAAGAAACTCCCGATAAGGTAAGGAGACAACACTACGAGTTATTGACGCCGCTGTACTAGGCTTAAAAAGGTTGGAGCTTTAGAGCTAATGCGGCTTAAGGTTTTCTTGTTTTTGGTTTCGGGTGAGAGGAGTACACAAGCTCGGAAACCGTATGGAAATCACCATAGCCTTTCATGCACCATACTACGACCTTAAAACCTAAACCGTGAACTTGTAAGCCCAACCTTTCTGGATTCGGCTTGAGGTTTCAGCCATTGGGATCTCCTTTGGGTGTTCTTGTCTCCCGAAGTGCTCCTCCAAGGTAATCTTAGGGGTACTTAGAATTATTTTCAGTTTTTGGTTATTATCATCCCTAAGAAACAGCTAAACATGTAATTTGTGCTAGGGTTCTAAGTTCAGTATAGAAATGGGTTTAGGGTTTATGAAACTTCGGGGCCTAGAGTAGCAGGTTCCAACCAAATACCTGCAAAACACCCACCCATAATAAGCCCTGAACCCCGCCCTAGACCCCTAAACGCTAAACCCCTAAACCCCCAATCCCAACCCTAAGCCAAGCACCCGGAAGCCAAGTTTTACCACGGCCCTCTCGCCTCAGGAGAGGCGGAAATGGGAAGAAGCAAGTGTTGCGAAGGTGGGAAGCGGTCTTTGGATATAGTCTACTACAGTTTTGGAGACATGAACTTTGGAAGTTGACTTACGGTGACCATCGTCAAGCCTTAAGCCCGAAGCCCTTGATTTTGGAAGCCTTGGCTTCGCCTGCTGACAGGAATCGGTTGCCCTGCAAACACAGCTGTGCAGCATGGACGACATCGGGAGCTCGATACAGGCCGGCCGTCATGTCTTCAGAGTTGGCGAAGATGTCAGGCTCGAGACTAGAACTGCCTTGATTGGGGCTCCTTTAAGACAAGGTTTCCGGCTATTGGGACAGGAACGAAACTGTGAAACCTTACTTCTTGGAAAGTGTATATAAGCAATATGTGGGAAGCTGGATATGGAAACATGTGCAAGAGATCGCGCCAACACCCTCGAATGTGTTCGGCTTTGTTCCGAATATGGGCCTCCCTGTTGGCGAATGCTTCATAGTCCACCCACACTGTGTGCAGACACGCTTTTCTGCAAGGCTGCAAACGTTTGCATGCTTCCATAGTCCATACATATGTTTCGGAATGATGTATGCTCAGCCTGCTGCGCATTTTGGCACACACGGCTCGTACGGCCCCCACTCAGTAACAGTCGAATACTGTTCATAATATAGATATAGTAGGACCTCAATAGTAGCCCTATTATTATGCACTCTTACTGTATGGGGGCCGTACCTAAAAGCTTGGTGATACAGAGGCACAGTGAATAGGCAGGGAAGGATCCGCCGGTCATCGGATGTTAGCATGGGCATCATGTTTGCTTGGGATCTATAGGGAGGGATCTATAGGGTTTCCTTAAAGGGCTCCAAAGGGGTTCCTTAAAGGGATCTATAAGGGTTCCTCAAAGGGATCTATAGGGGTTCTATAAAAGGTTTAGGGTTTAGAGTTTCCGAAAATTAGGGGCACTTGAACACCGGGTTGCACCCGGTGCACTTGCATCTGTCCACCACAGACGGCATGCTCTTGCCGACACGATGTGTCGACACATGGAATGTTCAGGAATTGCTGAGTGCTGGTGGGAGGAGTAGACTGTGGCCAGGCGAACAGTTGTAGGAAGACATGTGCGATGCAGAATTCTGCTGTCGGTTTAAGGATATTGGGCTATTAGGGTTCTACCGGGCTTTCCTAGAAAAGAGGAACCTTCCTTTGGCAGGACATTGTCAGCGTCGTCAACCGCACGATATCCTGGCGAATTTGCTCCGCAGGAGGTGTTCCGTTATTCTGCATGCCCTCGGCGTTGTCACCCTGAAGCCTAAGCCGCCAAATCGGTTTGGATATAATCTACTACAAATGAACAGGTATATTATCTAATGGCCATATACTATAATCCTCTGTAGTCTACTGTAGACCAGAGTCCACTATCGTAGAAGTGACCCGAATGATACTCTGCCAGGCAGAGTGTGGTGCGCTACCGGCTCATGCAAGTCCAGGGCGAGCTGGAGGAAGGCAACCTGGAGTGAAACACGGGGGGGGGGGCTTAAGGGGGGTTTAGGGTTTGGGGTTTAGGAGATGAATAGAGTTGGATTTTGGGGCGAAGGGGTTAGCAGATGAATAGAGTTGGGTTTTGTGGCGAAGGGGTTAGGGGATGAATAGAGTTAGGTTTTGGGGCGAAGGGGTTAGGGTCTATTGGGTTTTAGGGCGAAAGGCTAAGGGGTTAGGGTCTGAATAGAATTGGGTTTTAGGGTGAAGGGGTTACGGTATGAATAGATTAGGGTTTTGGGGTTCAGGGTTTGGGGTATGAACACAACAGGGCTTTGGGGCTCAATGGCTTTAGGGTTTAGGGTATGAGTAGAATCGGGTTTCGGGGTGGTACTGCGCCAAATGCAGTTTTTAGTGACCGGCATCATAGCCTTGCCAATAATTTCGATCCCAATGCTCCCTAAACCCTATAAGCCCTAATAATACTCGCCTTGCGTGCGAATTTCGGGGCTTGGCGGCTTGAGGGCTTAGGGTGTCGGCGGAGGGGTCCAAGGCAAAAGGGTGTGGTTCTGGGGTTTCATGGCATTTCGAAGGCATGTGTAGTCCAGTGCTTTCAAGGATACCACAACATCTTCCGGGAGCCAAGCATTCCTAGCTTGAGACTCTAAACTTTGTGGGCAGATAGGTGTGTTTGGTTTTCCAAAGTCGCCTACAACATCCAACGACGGCCTGGAATCTCCGTTCAGCTTTGCCCAAGACCTACATCCAAAAGACGGAGCACAAGAGAACCTCGGCCCTTGACTCACCCCTGTTCTCTGATTGTGGCGTCCAAACAAAAACCCAATTTTTCTGAATCCTAGCAAGCAAAATCCTGCTGCCACCCGAAGCCTAGACGCAAACCCTAAAGCCCTAAACCCCTAAAGCCCTAAACCCTAAAGCCCTAACCCCTAAACCCTAAAGCCCTAAACCCTAAAGCCCTAAAGCCCTAAACCCCAAACCCCTAAACCCCTAAAGCCCTAACCCCTAAACCCTAAAGCCCTTAACCCTAAACCAAAGCCCTAAACCCCTAAACCCTAAACCCTAAAACCCTAAAGCCCTAAACCCTAAAGCCCCAACCTCTAAACCCTAAAACCCTAAAGCCCTAAGCCCTAAAGCCCTAACCCCTAAACCCCAAACCCCCAAACCCCCAACCTCTAAACCCTAAAGCCCTAAAACCCTAAGGATCTCTGAGAGCATTGCTTGCAAGGTCCGACCTTGCTTGGGGAGCCGCAAGGCCTTTCAGAGGCGACCTCTTGTCTTCGCCATAGTTGGGTAACATTTTACATTTTTTTGGGGGTAGGGTTTAGGGTTTAGGATTTAGGGTTTAGGGTCTAGGATGTAGGGTTTAGGGTTTAGGGGCTTGAATCCATTAAGGAATAAAAATGTACATTTTCAATCCTATCCCAACCATGAACTAGTTGTTAGGGCTTGGAACTCTGAGACGCAGGGCTGAGAACTACTGTCAGCTTGGGCAAGTTTTGGGGTTGAGCTTAAACTTGCAGTTTAGGGTTTGAGGTAGGAACCTGGTATAGTAGAAGCCAAAAAGTTGGAATATCATTATCGTAACCCCTTTAAGGTAAATTATAGGGGATCCTACCATTAATCCATATTCCAACTTTCTGGAGTTCCCTTTAAAGAAACCCCGGCCCTTTGACCCCCAAACAGAAGGATTCAAAAAGGCAACTCTACTAAAGACCCAGAGTCTCTTCATCAGGTTCCTAGATTCGGGCATCGCAGCTACATCGCTCCTGTGAGACTCCTGAACTTTGATGTAAAGCGTGGAACTGGAGCAGCTGAGCACTGGAGGGTTTTTTTGGGCTCTGCCGTCTGGCAAGCCGCTACGATACCATTATAGGGGCCTTAAAAGACTGATTACCAATACTATTTTTGGGGGTCCCTTGTTGCAACTTGTTATAGTATATTGGACCCGAAACCCTATTCTGATTATTAAGGCCCCTATACTATGCACAGCGCTAGTGGAAACGGCATGGATGCGACCATCACAGCCGTGAATGAAGAACCGCTTAAAGCCTTCCCCCGTTGTTGGGACAAGGGGTTTGACAGCTCCGCTCGGCCTTTGCATCTCAGAGACGAATCATCTAGGGGTCGGAACAAGTCGTGTTATCAAGTGTAAATGATTCCACAGGGTTCCCTAACTTCCTGAATACTGCTATTCTGCTCGTAGAACATACCCCCTAAAGGCTTAGTTTAAGTAGCCTCTTTATGGTTCGTAGTCTTTCCTGCCCTTCCCGAAGGTTGCAGCCTCATATATCTGTGAGTGACGTGCCAGGTAATGCGGCTGTTCAGCACCACACAGTTTGCCAAAAGCTATTTGTCGCCCAGCCCTTACTGAGACAGAGTGGCCAAAGCATGTCAGGCGGTGCGTGTAGCTCGCACGGACCAGGTCTCGAGCGAGTACTTAGGGGTACTTAGAAATATTTTTTAATTTTTGGCTATTGTAACCCCTAAGACACAGCTAAAATTATGATTTTGCTAGGGTTCTAAGTTCAGTATGGTAGCTTTAAGTCTGGCAATCAAGGATAGACAGTCCGACGAGGCATGTTTGCCGATACTTGTAGTTCACCCTTCCAGCGAAAGGTGCATTCTAGCTTTGCAGTTTCAATGAAGTGGATCAAAGCTTGACCTGCCAAGGCAGTGGCAGCTTTCTGGAAATCTTACACGGCACCCTTCTCAGTATGAGCTAGTCACAGATCTTTTGGTACTGGCCTGTTGTTGTCGTTTGTTTTGGCGCTTGACAGGAGCAGCTTGCATAGGCCGTCAATGCCTTGAGAGGGTTTTGCGTTGATGAGTGGGCTTTGGATGGCCAAGGTATACATGGCTTGGCGGATGAATTTAGAGCTTCTCCAGCCCTAGTTCCGATCAGGCAGGGATCGCTGGAACAGCGATCCCCATACTTATGGAGTTTGTTCCGGTAAGGAAGGCGGATGTGAGAATCCCCATACAGCTATCGTAGATACCGTATCATAAGCAACGTGGACCCTGAGGGGTAGTTTTCTGAAGAACCTCTGCCATATACCACCCCTTTCTAAGGATCTTCGAGTCATTCGGTCCTAAACCCTAATCCCTAAACCCTAAAACCTAATCCCTAAACACTGAACCCTAAAACCTAAACCCTTAACCCTCAACCCTAAACCCGAAACCCTAAACCCTCAACCCTAAACCTTAATCCCTAAGCACTATAATCCCTAAACCCTAAACCGAAAGACGGAAAAGAGCCTCGACCAAAAAAAGAAGCCGAAACCCGAAGCCCATGTTTCCAAGGATCCTCTCGTCTTTGAAGGCTTCCAACAGTCAGCTCGAGAGCCAGGTCCGCGAGGATTGGCATGGCGACTTCACGGGGTTTACGGAGGATTTTAGGGTTTTTTTTCCAGGATTTTTGGTGCTTTTTAGGGTTTAGAGGGTTTTGGGGTTTATAGGGTTTTAGGGTTTAGGGTTTCGTATTACGGTTTTTAGGGTTCAGGGTTTTAGGATTTTAGGGTTTAGGGTTTAGGGTTTCAGGGTTTAGGGTTGCTATGGGAACTTCAGAAGTTTTGGCACCACACATAATATAGAGGCCTTAATATTAGCTGCACGTACTATTCTGGGGGGTCCTCATTCCTCATTCTAGACGTAGTTTAATGGGCCCAGAACCCTAGTCTAGCTATTCAGGCCCCATCAATCAGAGAGACAGCTTAAACATGGGACATCCAGATTGACAGTCAGGTCTACTCAGGTCTGTTCCAGGGACTCCCTCTGACTCCCGGAGTTGGTCGGGTACGATGAAGTGGTAGCTTCCGAAAATGGGGAACCCTAACATAATACCCTAAACAGCAAGATCCTTATTATAAGGACCCCAACATAAGATACCCCTAATTTTCGGAAACTCCCAAGGGGTAGAGCTCCTAAACATGGGCCCAGGACCCCAAAGCCTAACCCTGAACCCTCAAAGCCAGAGCCCCCAGAGCATGGAGAACCTCTGTACTGCCTGCAGATGCCATGACAAAGGGAGCAGAAGTTGAGCTCTGAGCTCATAGAAGGATTGCAGTTTCTTTCCCCGAAAGTCCCTGCAGCCCTCGCCGAGGGGCTCCTATATGGGGGTTTCCGAAATAGGGGACCCCAAAATCAGGTACCCCTAATTTTCGGAAACTCCCTCATGGGTACTTCAGGGCCGCAGCATAGACTCTGTCGTTACATGAGCCCTTCGGTTCGACATCTTCTACATTTTGCCTGCAACACCCCGGTCGAAGAACGAAGAGACCTGACCCTATATGGCAGTTTCCGATAATGAGGGGTACCTTATTTGGGGGTCCTGGTAATAGGAATCCTACTATTTCGGGTACCATATTAGGTCCCCTATTTTAGGAAACACCCTATATAATCCCCAAGCCCTAGACCCTAAACCGTCTTGCACTTGGAGCTTGGAGGAGTCTGAGCACCTCAGCCAGCTGAAGAAGCAGCTGTTGGAGAGCCAGCAGAAGAGGTGGAAACTTTCACCCCGACGCCCCGGTATTTTTTTACACTAATTTAATAATAAAAATAATAATCATAATAATCATAATAATCATAATAAAAGAGCAGATGCCTCATTGCTTACGCTGGAGCTTCAGCGGGGTGTTGTGGGGATTCGGGCTCGTGATTCAAGGCTTGAGATGCAAGGCGCCCACTGGTTAGCCCCCGTGGGCTCTTGCGGGTCCAATTCTACCTGATAGGCTGCGTTTGACCCTTGCAGAAGATAGCCAACAGCCTTTGTTTGTGCAGAAAACTCGTGTATGTGCAGATGCACGTGCATACAAAGATACTGTAGTTGTGCGACACAACACAGATATCTAGACCTGCACTTGAAGAACACAGCATTGCATTGCATTTCACTGCATTGCACTCCACCACGCTGCGATAGACTATACTGCACCACACTAGACACTGCGGCAAGTACAACAATAACACTACACCACAGATCATCACGGTACAACACCTTACAGAAGATCACAAAAGTCGCAAGTGCAGTGTGCACCCGTCGAGGTTCGACTCTGTCAGCCTGCTGCCTCCTATCTCGCTCTGAAGACTTTGCCACGTTTGCCTGCTGATCATGTTTGCTGCACTGGTGTGCACTGTAAGTCGCTGCGTGTTCCACAGGAAGACAAACACCTCAGGAATTCTACGTAATTGTCCGGGCTGGGGCATACTGTAGATCCTTTTCGGAGACTGAATGGTTCTGTATGTCCGACGATGTCCCTTGGTACACTATGTACTGTAGCATCACACCATGTCTGTTGCATCACACATATTCACAAACAGCGATCGCAGTGCAAAGTCCAACATGTGCGGCCGCGTGTAAGACGAACTGTAGTAGACGATATAGTCTGTCATATTTCCCTTGATTGTTGTGAACAGGCTGGAGTTCATTAACCGGCTGGAAGAAGCCATTCAGGGCCTCTTGGCAGCTATGGATATGGGTGTTTGGGATCTTCACTTGCGTGCTACTGTGCAGGAACCTCCGGCTACACTGCAGCTACCACTTGTAATGGGTCCCATGTGCCCACTGCGAGATACAAACTCATGAACGCCGCGCTAAACCCTAAACTCTAAAGCCTAGACATCCCTAAACCCTAAACCCCCAAACCCCTAAACCCTAACCCCTAAACCCCTAAACCCGTACTTGCTTGCCGTTTGGGTCGAGTCGGGCTGCTGAGGCCTCAGGTCTGTCGAAACAGGGTTGGATGCTGATGATGGGTCAGCCAGAATGTTCTTGCTGACGACTGTCTGAGTCTGAGGTCTAAGCTTTGATTGTGGCATCTGAGTTGAGAGGAGGCTGCTTCAGCCTACACAAACCATGCCACGACACCCGGGCCCCTAAACCCTAAACCCTAAACCGCAAGCATGGCCTCCCTTTTGGTACGTGAATGCGAGATCGGGGGCTGACTCCTTGATCTGGGACCAGGGTGTGAGCCCTAATCGGCTGCTGGGCTGCCTGGTTGAACTTGTGGCGGCTAGGGATGACGGGATCTACACCAACTTTGGTCGCATTGTTGTTCTTGACGATATGTAGAGCAGCATCTCCATGTCATGTGGAATTCTTGGAGCGCTACGTGGGGCGAGTACGCCGTCGGCACTTCAACGAGCTCCTGCGAATGCCAACTCTGCATTGCAGGCTCCATGGTGTTCCTTCTGAAGTTCACTGGGCTCCTCTGGATCCCTCCCGGTGGTCCGAACTGCACAGGAAGTTCGCCTGGGGGAATGGATGCTCACTGCCCTCGACACTATGATGGAGCTGAGGGCTCAGGGGGAGGATGTATGGTCGCTCCATCTTCTTCGAGGCCGAGTTGCAGGGAAGGGATTCCAGGTACAGAGGGCTTGCAAGGGAGGTCCTGGATGCCTTGGACAGGGTGATGCCGTGGGGACAGATACATGGGCGAAAGCCGCCCGAGTTCAGTTCGCTCTGGGCCCAGGATGCTGAAGGTGAACTCTATGAAATCCTGCACTATGAGGTGGATGAGGGTTCAGGGTCTGACATCACAAGTTTGGTGCAAAGAGACATCAAGAAGAAATGGCTGAAGCCAAGAGACAATGGAAGGCGGAGGCGCCGCAGCAAGTGTCATGACATGGGGGGCGCGCCTAAGCCCCGGGAACCTACCACTCCGCCCGCCAATCCGCAGGTTACCACTTCCGTGCGCACGCTTCGCCCTCGACCACGTCAGACAGAGGCCAGACCTCCGGCCAATACAACTGGGTCGGGTGCTGGGAGCTCTCGCGATGTTCCCGCCAGCAGCTCACATGAAGGCCCGGCTTCGAATGAACCTCTGACATTGGACGAGGCTGCGGACATATGGAGCATAGTGCTTGGCTTGATGCCTCGCCGGGGATCATCGTGGGCGAGTACACGCGGAACAGTGTGACGGAGACCCTGCTTGAGTATGGCTTGAGGGATCGGCTCACGCTGGTACTGGCTTTCCAAGGGGTTGTCGCAAGGGTTATGAGGATTGTGGGAGAAGTTATTGAAGGTGCGATGGCAGAGGAGTGGACACAGCCACCGTGGGAACCAGACAGAGGAGATGAGAGCTCCCTCATGCCACAAGGTATGGTTACTACGGAGAACGACTTCACTCTGTTCCTCTCCGACTTGCGACGCGTGTTGGAAGAGATGTCAACAGGGGCCAGGCTGGCTAACTCCCGCCTCCTTTGGAGTTGGCTGGACTGGAGATGCAGTAACTCTGCAGAAGGGTTCTGCATCGGGCATATGCAGGGCCGAGTGGCACAAGTGCTCAGTGTGCTGGTGGTGGCGATGGAGTCCTCTTCCCAGGTCGAGGAAGTCCCGGATTTCCACCTGGACTGGTGCAACAAATGGTACCGCCGGCTTGCCAACTTCCTACCCACCCATGTTGGCAGCAGAAAAGCCCGAGGCCTCCCATTGCCTCCGAACCTTCCCTCGCCAGTCTTGTTCCCCAAGCCGCTTCCCGAGCTGGAGTCTGAGGATGAAAACATGGAAATGAGCAGGGCCATGCGAACCTTTCGTTCGCACAGCAGGGATCTTGATGGGGTCATTGAGGAGGGCAGGATCGAAAGGGAAGCAGATGCGGACCTCGAGGAGCAAGCCAACCAGGCTGCGGAAGCGGCTGAGGAAGCAGCCTTGGCGGATGAGGTTGCGGAGACTCAACGGGCTGTGGATGAGTGGCTTGCCGATACGGGAGGGTTGAGGGACCTCAGTGCTCCTGAGTACCAGCAGTGGGAAAACAGGACATTTGCGAGGGCATTGGGTGAACCTCCTACTCGCAAGCGACGCTACTTGGACATTGAGATGGCCTCTGGCAGTTCTGATGCGCCCCGCATGTCGAAGACCCTTCGTGTCCCACTTGGGCCTCACGGTGCCTCTATACATCTGACGGCTTCCTCGATACGCCGCCAACGGCTGTTCCGCCTGTCACGGGTGTGTCGGGGGTGGAAGGCTTGGCTAAGCCACCTGCAGCTGGTCCGCCTGCTACAAGGGGGCCGGTGGGGGATGGTGACTGTGACAGTGACGCGGCTACAGTGGATGTCTTGCCGGAAATGGGGCTAGGGTCCATGGAGGCTATACATGGGCCGCCAGCAGATGTGGCCTCCACTCTTCCGCAAATGGAGGACGACCGAGCCGAGGGTTCTCAGGGGTGTACAGCCGCGTTCTACAGCATGACGGACCTTACAATGGAGGAGTTTCGGCAGCTATATCGTCAATGGAGAGAAGGGTCAGTAAGCACGGATGATATAGACCGCGAGCATGGACGTGGGGTCAGGGAGATGATCGAGATCCAGCACATTGCCGAGTCAGGAGGGTTCGACACACCAGCCGAGCTGCCTGCCCAATGCCTGGCCAATACGGCCTTTCGCTGACCTAGACAGATAGGCAGGCGGAAAAAGGTGCTTTAAAAAAAAAAAACGCAAGCCCCAACCCCTAGACCCCCCACCCCACCTCAATCTCCTGCTAAGGACAGGCCTTGAACTTGGTCCTGACCCCAGTCTGATTCTCACAGTCTCCGGGAGCTCTCCAGGGGAACAGGGGTTACTTGGAGGTTCCTGGGTAGTTATAACTGGGGCTATAAGTAGGGTATCTACACTTATAACCCGTATTAGGGGACTTATAGCCCACTTATAACTACCCATGAACCTCCAAGTGGGCTGTCTCGGTATATAAGCCTCTTCTACTTGGAGGTTCATGGATACTTCTAAAAGGAGTTTATAAAGTCCCCGAATCTAGGTTATACCTATAGGTATCCTACCTATAAGCCCTACTTCAGACCACCGATGAACCTCCAAGAGCTTGAACCTAAATCCCAAAGTCGCCTATGTCAACCTCAAACACCAAATCTCAATAAACACAGCCTTAAGCCTAAACCATCTATCAATGTAGATGCATCTAATACAGAAGCCTGAGTTATTACCAATACGAAACCGTAGAAACGGCACCCAATCAACCCTAAGTTCGAGTTGGTAAGACATATTCAGAGAAGCCCTTTAGAGGAGCCCCTCTTTACAAGTGCACTTTAGAGGAACTCAAATCCCTTGAAGCAACCCGTACAACCCTAATCTGATCCATAAGCCCTAAACCCTAAGCCATAACCCCTCAAACCCCAAAACCCCAAACCCTAAAACTCCAAACCCTAAAGCCCAAACCCTAAAACTCCAAACCCGAAAACCCCAAACCCTAAGCCCACAACCCCGAACCCTAAAACCCCAAATCCTAAGCCCAAAACCCCAAACCCTAAAGACCTAAAACCCCAAAGCACAAGCTCCGAAACCCATTTTGGGAGCTTCCGATAATTACGGGACCCTCTTCTCGGGGGTCCTTATTATAGGGATCCTACTGTTTAGGCTACTAAACTTAGGGTCCCCAATTTTCGGAAACGGAGGACCCTTCTATAGTACCCTGAATAGTAGGATCCCTTAAAAAAGGACCCCTCAAAATAAGATACCCCTAATTTCCGGAAACTCCCATATTGAACACTGCAGAACCAGGCGACCTCGGGGGATCGTCTCCAGGAGCAGTATCGGTTCATGGCAGAGGGATTTGTAGGGATTGACAGTTGCTTTAGAAGGGCTTAGGGTTTCGGGATTTAGGGTTTAGGGGTTAAGGGATTAGGGGTTTAGGGTTTAGGGTGTGCCCTGTGATTATTTGTCTCGACGCACATCCGCATGCCGAACCCGATGCCCGCCATGCAGGAGCTTCAGAACATCAAGAGGGAGGAAGGTTTGCTCGAGGCGGGCCCAATATAGAGGCTGAAATAACCACTAATTAATGCTGATTTTACTTCTGGTACAATCTGTATCCTAGTTGTCTATCGGTCTATCTATACACATGTTATTGCATGACTCCCAGCGGGTCAACTCGCCCTAATCTGTTTTAAGAGGCCGAAGCAGCATGCGACCGCGAACAGTGAGTGCAAGACCTCGTCCTAAACCTACAAAGAGCCTACAGCACCGCTACCATTGCTGCGAAAGGCACAGATGGAGTCGTTGGCCGCGCTAGACGCCGAGACAGCTCAGGACATTTCCGAAAGTCATGAATTAACACAAACTATACTATGCTAGAAACAACTGTTGACGAATATATGTACACAAAAAAATGTGTGTGTGTGTGTGTGTATATATATATATATACGCATATTATATATATATATATATATGTATATGTATGTATACATACGCAATATATTCTGTTAGCCTATGTTACATTGTGTTCACAGGTCATACTGTATCATGTCATGTGAGAAAGAGAGGGGGAAGAGGCAGGGAGATGGAGATAGGGGGAGAGAGGGAGAGAGAGAGAGAGAGAGAGACAGACAGAGAGAGAGAGAGAGAGAGAGCGAGAGCGGGTGTGTGCGTGTGTGTTCATATGAACGGACAGATAATTAAGGAATCATACATGCAATGCATGCCTGCAGACAGCAAAATTCTCACAACCACGCCATAGGTTTAGGCGACAAACTTACACATAGACAGCGAGACATTTGTACATGCAGATACACATACGCAGAACCTGCACACATACACCAGCAGATATAGATGCAGGTCTTGCCATACAAGTCGGAAAAAGGTATAGATACAACTATAGGTGTAAATAAATTGTATATCTGGTTGCCTGCCTGTCTCTATACAGGCATGTAGGTAGGTAGGGAGGCAGGTAGGTAATCAGATAGGTAGATCGCTGGATATGTGCTTGAAAGATAGATATATATATATATATATATATATACATATGTAGAAGGATGGCGAGACAGATAGATCGAGATATAGGTATATCGGTAGGTAGATAGGTAGGTCGACAGGTAGGCGCTAGGTAAATGGGTAGATTTGTTTAGATGGCTAAATGGGCAGATTCCTTTGATAGATAGACGGTTGATTGGTTGACAGACACATGAAGATGTAGATGTCGGTTGCAGGGTACCACAAAGAACCATCCTTGCGACAGGAGAGCCAGTCCCTGAACCGAATGCTCCTGGGATCCTCCATGGCAGGATGCCAAGATACACGGCCACCCTAAAGCCGCTCGAAACCCTAAAATGTTAAACCCTAACCTCTGAAGCCTTCCAACTCTTGCAAGGAGGAAAAGCGCCGCAAAAGAAATGGAACCAATCCCGAAACCCTGAACCGATCACAGGAGTTGCAACCGTCTCTGTTGTGCTTGCACGAGTGAAGTGCGGTAGCGTTCTTGCCTGTGTGTAATATGGGACAGTGGTGGTACCGGGCGTTGTAGCCGTGCTCGTCGTCGTCGGAGTAGAACGCACCTCCAGGATCCCTCACTCCTCGGCCTATGTCGATCGCTGATGTCCTGCTTGCCTTGTTGTCCTTGCTGCATTCATATGTGTATACATATGCATATACATATACGTATGAGCATGTACATATATAATATACATATATGTTCATATATACGTATATGCATATATACATCTATGCATAAACGCATCTAGACATATACGCATATACATCTATGCCTATATATACACACATATGTATATGAATCTGTATATTCTGTACATACATAGGTGGCAAGATCGAGAGAGAAAATGCTTCGCCACTCCTCTGAGGCCACCTCCTTCGTTCAGGCGGCCCATGGGGGCAAAACACTAGTTAGGTTTTGGGGAGGGTTTAGGGTTTTAGGGGGCTTGGGGGAGGGTTTGGGTTTAGGTTTACGGATGTTTTGGGTTAGGGCTGGGTTTAGGAGGTTAGGTTTAGGGTTTAGGGCCTTGATGAGGGGTTTGGGTTTGGAGTGTGTATAGGCTTATCGAGCTGCTTTCAGCGTTCGGTTGTTGCTGCCAGTACTGTGAATCCTACGCAACCCCGAAGTCCTGGTTCCGCTGTACCACAGTGCCCATGTCGTCCCTGTTCTACATGCTTTGTATGTAGTTTATGTGTGTATATGCACTGGTGTATTTGTATATCTATACATGTATATCGAGACAGAGAGATAGAGAGAGAGTTCGATATATATATATATATATATATATGTATGTATATACACCTACATATGTATACATATATATATATATATATATATGTATAGATATAGATATAGACATAGATATAGAGCACACACACACAAATATGTCTAAATATCTATACACACACAGACACATGCATACATACATACATACATGAGGACAGATATGTCCATATGTATGATTAATATATCTATATATATACACACATCATATATATATATATATATATATATTATAATATATATATATATAGATAGATAGATAGATAGATAGATAGATAGATAGATATATGAACATATATATATATATATATGTATACATATAAACTATATACATACACGCATACATTTCCGTGCTTGACCGCAGGATGGGCCGAAAGCCCCAGAGCTTCTCGGCTTGAGTTTTGGCACTGCTCCCCTTAAAAGCCAGGTCCGAAATGCAGACACTTTGGGGTCTCTTGGACCTTGAGATCTCTAAGCTGCCGCGATATGCCATAAGCAAGGAGCTAGTTCACCACAATCCTTTTTGATGGCGATCCGCCGCGGTGTCCGCAATCGCGATGATGATTCGGATTTACTGTACTGATGATGCGATGACGTTTCGAGACATTTCTCCTGCCGATGTCGGTCGCCATGGTGCCGGCGTTGCTGGTGCAGGTGGTGGTGCGGGTGTTGATGGCGGGGTTGGCGGAGGAGGAATCGGTGCTGGTAGTCCGACTTCCAGCTCTCCATGGCCTCTCGGAAATGGACATCGTAGGCTTCCTATAAGCAGTATAAGGTTGGTATACTGTACAAGGCATCCCAAAAACTGATGTAATTTCCTTCCTCTTTTTTATGCCCAGTCCTGACCTTTAGTTTGAACTGTGAACTTCTCGCTCCCTCCTTCTGCCTCTGTCTGGTGCGGCTCTCTGGACGTCCCTGGAAGTTAATGCAAGCGCCGAGGTTGTCCAAAATTTCCGCCCACCGTGCATTCTGAGAACTCAGACGTGGGCAATACTGGTTCAATACTGCGCAGACCTACGGCTCATAAAAGCGCGAAGTTTGCAGAGTTCTGGTGTTGAGTGCTTCGGTGAACTTGCGATGCTCGCCAAAGCTTTCGAGTTCACATGGCCTGCTGACCCATCAGCGTCGCCCGCAAAACAAGCGAAAATGAAATTAAGCTGCTCAAGGATGTCTCTGGCCCGTGATGTCAGCCTTTGCTTCCTTTGGCCCAGCCGAGTGGGTCTGAGCCCTTGCAAAGCAAGCGGCGGCCTTCTTCGCTTTGCAGCCTCCCTAAAGCAGCCCCGAGAAAGGTAAGCTTCATAGCAGCCCTTGCTGTAGCGCCGGTTATAGTAGCCCCTACCGCAAAAGCCCTTGTTAAGATTTTCCACTTTAACGAAGCCACGATGACAAGGATATGGCATGAGTGACAACTACACTGATGCAATAGGAGGTGTGGCATCAGAACCCCTGTCTCACATTGCAGAACTGATTATTTGGTCCCTTCGGGGTACTTTTGGTTACAAGCAAACTTCTGATCAGCCAAACGCCTCAACACACGTGTTTGGAACATTACCATGATGACTAGTTGAGCAGTGTAAGAATCCCCCCTCCTGCACCATCATGTATCCTTCCTACAAGGGAGTGTCCCAAAATAGGGGACCCTATGTAATATAGTACCCTAAATAGTAGGATCCTTGTTATAAGGACTCCAAAGTAAGGTAGCCCCTATTTTCGGAAACTCCTATAAATTTTCTTGCGAAGCACAACCTGGTACCAAAGACTACACTGCACTAGACCTCATAGTGTAAGGGGGCTTTAAAGGGGGTCTTAACGTGGGGATTAAAGGGGGCTCTAAGGGCCTCTCAACCCTCCCTAAGCCCAAACCCTAAACATCCCTAAACCGTAAAACCGAAACCCTCAACCGCATCCATGGCTGCGTTCTCGGCTTTGCGCGGGGTGGCGTTGGCCGTGCTGCTGGTGGCTCGAGGGTTTGCGGATTGACATTTGGGTTCATGGAGTCCAGGTTGTCGATGCTGAGGATTCAGGATTTTGCCCTCCAGGTCTTTGCAAAGAGTTTCGGTCTAGGCTGTATGATTCAGGAGTTTCTTTGTTTGTGTGGAGCACCGCGCAGATAGCCTCACGAATTGCAGAATCAAGTTGACATGCTAAGATGTACTTGTATGTAAGTACAGAGTTCTGAGATGCTGCTCCCAGTTCCCATGTATCTGTAGGCGTTTTAAGATTGTGTGGGTGGTTCCTGTTGCCCGGCTCACAGGCAGATACTGCTGCTGTTGCTTCTCTCATACTCGCACTGCTTGTATGAAGCCAGTGATGGCAAATACTGAGCCTTGGACTAGAACCTGAGCTCTAGGAGCGAGTATGGAGTAATTAGTATTGCTAGTGTTGCTGATGCTGCCACTGCTGCTGCTACTACCGCCACTGCTACTGCTACTGCCGCCACAGCTAGTGCGACTGCTACTGCGACTGCTACTGCTGCTGCAGCGGATGCTGCTGCTACTGCTACTCCTACCACTATATACTACTACTATATGCCACTACGATATACTACGACTATATATATACTACTACTACTACTGTACTACTACTACTACTACTACTACTACTACTACTACTACTACTACTACTACTACTACTACTGCTACTTCTACTACTACTACCACTACTACTACTACGACGACTACTACTTCTGCGACTGCTACTATACCACAACTACTAACACTACAACTACACGATGACGGTGGCGACTACGACTGGCTAGTGCTTTGATGCGATGGCTCCCACATGTTGTTGAATTCGAGTATCCTTGCACACAATACGTAATTAGAATAGCGTTCCTTTAAAGACATCTACAAGGGTTAATTACTATAAGGGATCTATACGGGGTACTACCAAAAAGCGGCCTTAATAATTAGAACAGGGTTTCGGGGCCCACTGTACTTCTTGTTCCATTCAGGTCGCCCTGGCGTTCACGACGCTGTACTTCGTCACAGGCCCGCGACATGCTAGTCCCTCTCCTCGGAAGCTGATCGCACGAGAGGCTCACGAAGAGCAGCACTGTCTAGAACCCTGCGGCTTGTAGTCAGTTCAGCCAACACACCATGCGCAAGTCTGTAAATAAATAGACGACATAGTCTAATGTAAGGGCATGTCATACCACACTATAATGGATTGTGTTATAATCGACTATACTGTGTTCTCTAACATATTATACTGCATTGTATTTTATGTTCATACAATATGTATATTTATGTACATGTATGTAAATAAATAAACAAATAAATAAATAAATATATATATATATATATATGATACGTCTGGCTGTAGGTGTTTATTGTGCATACACTACATCTGTCTGCATACCTCTGTATATGTATGTATATATATATATATAAATAAATATGTGTGTGTGTGTATGTGTATGTGTATGTCTGCATGCATGCATGTATGTATGTGTGTATGCACATATATATATATATATATATATATATATATACATATATATATATATACACATACAGAGAGAGATATAGAGACATGCATATGCAGTCATATCCACACACACACACAACACATGTATACGTGCATGCACGCATCTATGAACCTATGTATGTAAGTCTGTACGCATGTTTGTATATGTATGCATGCATGCATGCATGGTGTATGTAGGTATGTATGTATGCATGTATGTAAGGATGTATACATGCACATGTATATATATATATATAGAGAGAGAGAGAGAGAGAGAGAGAGAGAGAGAGAGAGAGAGAGAGAGAGAAAGAGAGTACATAATTTTAGTCTATTTGCTGTCACAAGGGTCGCGAAAGAGTCGATGATTGCACGGATTAGATTTATGTGCGAACTGTTTTCTACATGACTATGCACCTGTGCCTGTACGAACTTGGACTACACTACAGTGCGACTTACTAGCATGGGAATGGCAAAACCGCTTGCTAAAAGACAGGCATTCAGCGAGGGCAACCATAGCAATCAGCACATCCTGTAGATGCGCGGTTTTTACTGAAAGTTTGTAGTCAGCGGCTCTGGATCCAAGGATCTTGCTTAGGATTGTAATGGATCCTGAATACCCTGTACGCCATCCTTAGTCAAAGTTTCTTATACCAGGTATCCTAGCTCTGGGGGTTAGGGTTTAGGGACCTTAAATTGTAATCATCCCTAGATCCTAAACCCTAGACCCCAGACCCTAAACGCTAGACTCTAAACTCTAACTTTAGGGTCTCTGTCAAAGGTCCGCACTGCTCTGAAACTCCCATGTCAGCTACTAAACTGCAGTCTCTCACGAAGATCTCTCTGAAAGTGACGGTCCTAGGTCAAAGCAGGGGATTGAGGGTTTCGGGGGGGCCAGGGTTTTAGGAAGATCCTGCGATTTAGGGAAAGATCTAGGGTTGAAGGGTGTACGGGTTTAGGGTCTAAGGAGGATCCTCCCGTTCAGAGTCAAAGCTAGGATCCCTTACTCATCCAGGTTGGCTTTTGGGACATTTTGTATTTTCCGTATTTGGGTTTATAAGGGACCCTGTATATATAAATATAAATATTGTTCAGGGTGTTTAAAGGCCAACCCAGTCATTGAAACTCCGGCATCATGAGTTTAGTGAGGATGGCAAGCGAGGATGAGCCGCTGCAACCACCCCATTTCCAACCTGAGACTCCGAACCCAAACCGGTCGGCTAAACCCTGAAGCCAGAAACTCTAGAAAAAACTTCATTCAGAGATATTCCTTAAGAATCACATTCAGGATTCTTGGTGATCCCCGTAAAATTTCAGGGATACATCTTGCTTCAGGGGTTTTGGAGCCTTTGTGAAGAACTCGTCAACAATCAAGAATGGCTGCTTCCTTGTCAGAATAGGATTTGAGGTCCATTAACGTACATTTGTGGAGGAGCCATAAGGGGATACTGTGTCGTTTTGAGGTGAGGATGGTGGTCCGGGTGGGAGCCTCTTCGCGCTCCTGGCTCTCCACCAGGCTTATGTCACCTTGCTACTGCTGGGGGTGCCAGTGGGTTCTTCTAACAGGGTTTCGGGTTTAGGCTCGGAGGGTCCATCTTCATTTTACTGGTAAATACGAATACGAAAAGCAATCGTAACGCATGAATCATAGGGCTTTGGGTTTAGGGTGTTGGCTTTCTAGATGTCAGGGTCTAGGGGCTTTCGGGTTGCACTTAGGATTTGCAGGGTCCAGTGGCTGTGATCTGAACTGGAGTTCGTGCCCCTCTACTAGGATGCCCAGTAGTACCCTTATGGCCCTGTTTGCAGTCCTAGGTTCCTCATTAAGATACAAAAAATACGAAAAAGGGAGCCCGTTTTATTCCTAGGTTACTGGGCATTCTAGTCTATGTTCTGCTGTTCCGTGGCGGCTCTGCCTGCAAACTGCAAGCCCTAAACACTGAAACCGAGCAAACCTAAAAGCCCTATGGCACATACATTCTTACTACTATTGGTAGCATTCTATTGAAAGAATTATTGTTTATCATTCTGTTTGTTTCGTGCTACTGTTATCATTAAATTACTGTATTTAGTATTTTTGATTCACTTCCTGAACCCGAAGCCGCCCTGGGGTTCAGGCGGCTCTATGGGCGGCGAAAGTGATGCTCGATGCAATGAGATCAAGTTAGTATAGGGGCTTAGGGTTTATATGGGGGTTTAGGGTTTAGGAGTGCTGGGGTTCTTTGTTGCAGTTATAGTACAATATACCCCACAAGCCCTCTTCCAGTTTTGAAGGCCCCTATATTATGCTTTCTGGCCCCTACTACTGCGACACAGCACAGGGCATGCTGTAGCATAGGTTCTTGTGATTTTAGGGCTTTCTGAACTGGATCTAGATATGCTTTAGAGTAAACCCCATAAAGTTGGAAACGGGGTGCTGGGATTCCCTATACATTACTCTTAAGGATTGAGGCTATTCGGTTTCCAACTTTTAGGCTTCTACTTTATAAGCGTCATGTGGAATGATTCTCC